GATTAACTTCTCCTGCAAAGAGTCATTACTTGATGAGCTCGCAGACATAATCGTTCCTAAAGGCTCGCAGACATAATCGTTCCTAAAGGCGTAAACGCCATTCATTGTGACTTGCACACGCTGGCAATGATCCAGGACGAATTGGTTCGGCAGTTTCCAGCCACCAAATTTTGGCATTGCAAAAACCGTGTAACGGATATTTTTGCAGTTCCTGAGAGACGAAAAATCCTCACCGTCGAGCACAACAGGGCTCACAGATCGGCCCAAGAAAATGTTAAGCAGTTACTCTCCGAGTACTTCTTTCCACGATAGGCACCCAAAGAAGCATGAGCGAGACTCCGATCCCCTCTCATGTGGGAGAACTGCTACATATCGACATCTTTTCCACAGACAAGAAATACTTCCTCACTTGCATCGACAAGTTTTCGAAGTTTGCAGTTGTGCAACATGTCCACTCTAGGACAATCGAGGATCTTAAACCGGCCATACTGCAAATCATGAACTTTTTCCCTAGGGCTTGAGTAGTCTTTTGCGATAATGAACCTTCGTTAAACTCGCACACTACACTGTGCGACAAAAAAATGTTTAAGTTGATTTTTTCTTATTTTTCACTTCTACTAATCAAAATAAGAATATAAGTTTGTGGATTTGTTAATATCAATAGCCAATCAGCTTTTACGCACACTCAAATGTCCCAAAAACGCGTGTTTTTGCATATTTCACAGCCTTATAATCACATTGTTCGGAGCAGACCGCCAGCACCTAATTTTATGCACATAGGTGTAGGGAGTTGGGAGCCGCTCTTAAAGACTCTCTTATGTTTGTTATCTGCATTATCTATAATCGTCAAAGCGACGGTATAAAGAAGCCGCGCTTTCGGCTTATCTCACCTCAGATCAAACACCAACTCATCTCGCATACATTGTTCGCGAAAATATCAAAAAACGAAAAAACATAAAGGTTGCAACTCCAAAATAAACATACTTAAATTAACTTAACCTACTCGTGCGTTATTTAATTACAAGGGTGGCATATTGGTTGTCTTCCCCATAAACATTTTGGTGACCCCGACGTGATATTCGTTCACGTAAATTTCGTTTAAATCGGAGTCTGCAACTCAATTTTCGTTTTGGTTCAAATCGGTTAAACATTTGTCGTCGTTTGCTGGCATTCGGTCACAAACACACAAACGCGCATACAAAGTGCATTTAGCCGGGCGTTTGATTTTTGTACATTTCGAGCTGTTCTTTCGCTTTTGCTAATCGGGCAAAAACTGTGAACAAATAACAACAACAAAACAAAGTTCCCTAACCTTTCGGTGACGCTTGGTGCTGTAAATTTTCGCGCTTTAAACCACAGGGTGTTGTGTGCAAAGCAAACTCTATAAGAAATTACTTTTTGCTTTTTATTTTTTTTGTGAATAACTAAAATGCAAAATTCGGTGAACGATAGTCAGCCCCAAAATGGCCCAAGTGAAATTGAATTTTTCGGGCCAAAGTGCAGTCCATTTTGCGGCAAGTCAACGCGCTCAAAAATTATTTAGTGGCCAACAATATCGACCAATTCGACGAAGCCGATATTCATGCGCGGTTAAAGTGGATCGAGGCACAGAACTTGGCGTTTGATTCCGCCCAGACAGCGCTGGAGAGGCTGGACTTTGCCGAGCTTACGGGCGACACAAGGATGGAGTTTTCAGGAGTCGTAATGGATGTGGAGGCTAAGCTTAATCGAGGCTTGGCGGCTCAGCGAAAATTGCAATTTGCTGGAGCCACAGCTGCCAATTCGACAAGTTTTGAATTAACAAATAATCCAGATTTTTCGTTGCGGTCTAGGAAGCCTCGATTACCAGCGTTAGAGATTGCGCGGTTTTATGGATCCTACTCCGATTGGCCGGACTTTTTCGCCACCTTCAGCACGGTGATTGGAAATAATGAGGAGCTGACTGGAATCGAAAAATTGCAATATTTACGGTCTAGTTTAGGCGGCGTGGCTCTGGAGACCATACGCTCGCTAGAACCTTCGAACCAAAATTATGAAAAGGCTTTGCATTTGTTAATAAATCGCTTTGATAATAAAGTTCTGCATTTTCAGGCACACGTGAAGGCGATATTTGGGTTGAAGGGTGTCGAGGAGGGATCAGCAACGGGTCTTCGTGAGGTCAGCGACTTCATAAATTCACATCTCCGAGCAATCCGGACCTTGGCCAGTGTGGAACAAATTTTAGACGGATTTCTTATTCACATCGTCGCTCACAAGCTGGACCAGAGGACTCTAGAAAGATGGGAAGAGACCTTGCCCATCGCTGAGCTTCCAGCATGGACTGCCATGGAGTCGTTTCTGGAGAAGAGGTGCAGGATGATGGAGAACCTGGATCAAGCCTTGGTAATCCAAACACCAGGCCAACAGGTGGGAAAAAACTTGCACAGATATCACTCAAATGCAATTCTTGCCTCTGCTACGACCCTAAATTCTACTGTATGCCTGTTTTGCAATAGTAAGGACCATTTCCTGCCGAAATGTTCGCGATTTTTAAATTTGAGTCCAAATATTCGATACAGAGAAGCAAAGAAGATGCACCTTTGCCTAAATTGTTTGCGCAAGGGACATAGTTTGCAACAATGTAAAGCTTCGCATTGCAGACATTGTCGGATGAGGCACCACTCATTATTGCACATGGCCTCGGATCCCTCAAGTTCGAACTCAATGGCGTCTCCATCATCCGACCCACTCCTGAGCTCTCAGGCAGTACCTTCCGCTTCATCAGCATTAGTTTCGCGCTCACATTCGCATTCTAATCAACATTTGGCAAACCCTCCACCCAGTGCCTCAAATAATATGCCGACGGAATACGTGTTGCTTCCAACTGCCATAGTTTATGTTAAAAACAGAGTTGGTGCTCTCATGCCTTGCCGAGCCATTCTAGATTCGGGTTCCCAATTAAATTTCATTACTTCGCGCCTAGCTAGCCAGCTTAATTTGAAGCACAGGCGATCGCTCACACTCGTTTCTGGAATCGGAGAATCTTCCATGAGCGCTGATAGGGCAGTTGATATTCTAGCGCAGTCACGGGATGCAGGCTATCGTGCAGCATTCACAGCTGTAGTGACTCATAGTATCACTGACTATCAGCCTCATTTTGACATAAATGCAGCAGGATGGAGAATTCCAAAGAACATTTCGCTCGCGGATCCTCATTTTAACGATTCACAACGTATTGACCTCTTAATTGGAGCTGGTCTGTTCTTTGAAATAATTACTATGGGGCAAATTCATTTGGAAAGCAACTTGCCAACACTGCAGAACACCAAGCTTGGTTGGATCGTTTCTGGAGGGATGTCAAGCATTCCAAATCATAAGTCTGTCTTAGCTGCCGTTATTAAAGATCCAGTCAATCATTCTGATGATGAAACGCTTACTGCTATTGTAAAACGATTTTGGGAAATAGAAGACGTTAGCTCAGCGAAGCCAGTTTTGTTGCCTGAGGACTTGCGGTGCGAACAACTTTTTAAGGAAAACTGCACTAGGCTTGAGAATGGTCAATACTCTGTTCGCCTCTTGTCCGCTTCAGGATTCGAATCTCTAGGTGATTCCTATTGTCTGGCTCGTCGTCGTTTCAAGAGTTTGGAAGCTAAACTAGATAGAAACCCAGCCCTAAAGGTTCATTATTCGTCCTTCCTAAAGGAGTACATAAACTTAGGACACATGTCCCTCGCAGCAAAGGAGCCAACGGTTCCGCAATTTTTCTTGCCTCACCATTGTGTACATAAGCATGAGAGCACGAGCACAAAGCTTCGTGTCGTCTTTGATGGGTCTGCTAAAACGACTTCTGGTACCTCCTTGAATGACTTACTTCTCGCAGGGCCGACCATTCAGCAAAAAATCTTTAACATATTGCTTCGCTTCAGATTCTTTAAAGTAGCTCTTTGTGGAGACATCTGCAAGATGTACCGCTGCGTACGTGTTTCGTACCCGGATGATTTTTTGCAGTGCATCGTTTGGCTAGAAAATTCATCGGATGAGTTGAGTGTTTACAAACTAAACACGGTGACCTATGGAACGAAGCCAGCCGCTTTCTTGGCTATAAGAGCCATGCATCAGCTCTCTTATGATGAAGAGGAATCATTTCCAATTGGAGCAGAGATTGTTCGTAGAGATTTCTATGTCGATGACTTAATTTCTGGGGGCGAAACGATTGAAGAGGTGAGAGAAATTCGTCGTCAGGTAAAGAGTCTATTGTCGCGAGGACACTTTCCAATCCGCAAATGGTGTTCGAATGAGTCAACTGCCCTCGAAGGAGAGTCGGACTGCGATAAAGAACAGCTTATTAAATTTCACGATGGATCAGATATCGCCAAGGCATTGGGGCTAGCTTAGGATCCTTCTTCTGATCAGTTCCTGTTCAATTTTTCTCAGATATCGTCAAGTCATAGAGTCACCAAACGGATCGCATTGTCAACTATAGCCAAATTTTATGATCCTCTCGGGTTAATAACGCCAATCGTTACCAAATCTAAAATCTTCTTGCAATCTCTATGGAAGTCTAATGTGGATTGGGATGACGCATTGCCAGAGCCAATTCTTTCGTCATGGGGGAGTTGACCTCTCAGTTGTCGATCGTCCAGAACTTGAAATTTCCACGATTCGTAACGCGTCCGCAAGCGACCATCCAGTTGCATGGATTCTGTGATGCTAGCACAGCAGCTTATGGAGCTTGCCTATATTTGCGGTCGGAGGACAATGAAGGCACAAGAGCTTATCTACTCTGCGCCAAGTCGAGAGTAGCCCCGTTGAAGGTCTTAACAGTTCCAAGATTGGAACTTTCAGCAGCACTTTTATTGGCAGAGCTTATCGTAAGCGTCAAGGAAACCATAGATCTCGATTGCGCCTTTCATTGCTGGTCTGACTCGTCTATCGTGTTGGCGTGGATTAAACAGCCTCCTAGGGAGTTCAACGTGTTTGTATCCAACAGAATCGCAAAAATTCAGGAGATGACGAAAGGAATGTCTTGGCATCATGTTCCAACCAACCTCAATCCGGCGGATGTCGTGTCGCGAGGCTGTACACCTAAAGAATTGCTGGAGCATTCTCTTTGGGCTAATGGACCTCCATTTCTTTTGCAGAACTCATCGGAATGGCCTTCCCTGCTTGATGTAGCAAGGGATCTTCCAGAGCGTCGTTCCGCGACTCTAATTGGAACCGTGTGCGTTGACATTTCTGTTAACTGCAAATTCCTTAACACGTTTGATAAGTTGCAGCGTGTATTTGCGTACGTGTATCGATTTATTTCGAATTGCAGGTCCAAGCCTCTACTTTCCAATGGCCATCTTTCCGTTGAGGAGATCAACTCGGGGACCATACTTCTTCTAAGGAGCATCCAGCAGATTCACTTAGCCAAGGAGTATGGAGTTCTTAGCCAGAGCAAGCCGTGTCCACAGAAGAGCAAACTGATTTCGCTGAGGCCAATTCTTGGCACCGATAGATTACTTCGCGTTGGTGGAAGACTTCAGAACGCAAACTTGGACTATGATACTAAGCATCCGATATTGCTTCCCAAGGACCATCCAGTCACCAAAGCAATCATCGTGTATTTCCATAAAAAATACATGCACGCAGGATCGCAGGCGTTGCTTGCCACATTACGACAAAGATATTGGCCGATTGGAGGTCGGAAGTTCGTGGCTAGCGTCATCAACAAATGCGTTAGATGCTTTCGGATGAGGCCTGTGACTTGGGAGCACATCATGGGTAGTCTTCCAGCGAATCGAGTTCAACCTAACCCAGCATTTCATACGACAGGAGTCGACTATTGTGGGCCATTCTATCATAAAGCAGAGTCCCGGAACAAGGCACCGCACAAGTGCTACATCGCCGTCTTTGTCTGCTTTTCCACGAAGGCCGCTCACTTGGAAGTCGTCCAGGACCTCACAACAGATTCCTTCATAGCAGCTCTGAGAAGGTTCATCAGCCTTAGAGGCAGTCCGCGAACTATCTGGAGTGATAATGCGACTAACTTTGTCGGCGCCAAGAGCGAGTTAGGAGAGCTGAAGGAATTATTTTTGAGCGAGCAACATATAGCTTCGATAGCTTCTTCGTGCCTAGCGGACGGGATAGATTGGAAGTTCATACCTCCGCGTGCTCCACACTTTGGTGGCCTATGGAAGGCCGCTGTCAAATCGGCCAAGTTTCACTTCTACAGAGTCGTCGGTCCATCCATCTTATCCCTCGATGAATTGAGAACTCTTGCCTACGAGATTTCTGCTATCCTTAACTCATGTCCCCTCTGTCCAATTTCAAAAAACGCTGAAAGCCTCGAGGTGCTAACGCCGGCGCATTTCTTAAAGGGTTCCAGCTACACCAAATTTCCTGAGCCGGATGTCACGCATCTCCTTCAAGGCCGCCTCAGCCTCAAATTGTGACCCAAATGCAGCAACTATTCTGGAGAAGGTGGAGCAGCGAGTATTTATCACTTCTTCAGGAAAGAAGCAAATGGCGTTCCGAAGGATCTAACATCAAGATCGGAAGCATCGTGTTGCTGAAGGAGGACAACGTTCCATCATTAAAATGGCCCCTTGGACGAGTTCAGGAAGTCATTCCCGGCGAGGACGGCGTCGTCAGAGTAGTTATGGTCCGTACAGCTACGGGCATCATCAAGAGAGCCGTCGCCAAACTGGCCGTTCTGCCCGTCGATTCCCAACAAGTTGAAACCGTGCCTCTTCCAACGGGGGAGTATGTTCGGAGCAGACCGCCAGCACCTAATTTTATGCACATAGGTGTAGGGAGTTGGGAGCCGCTCTTAAAGACTCTCTTATGTTTGTTATCTGCATTATCTATAATCGTCAAAGCGACGGTATAAAGAAGCCGCGCTTTCGGCTTATCTCACCTCAGATCAAACACCAACTCATCTCGCATACATTGTTCGCGAAAATATCAAAAAACGAAAAAACATAAAGGTTGCAACTCCAAAATAAACATACTTAAATTAACTTAACCTACTCGTGCGTTATTTAATTACAAGGGTGGCATATTGGTTGTCTTCCCCATAAACACACATATTGGGAAAATATTTTTTCACCGTTATAAGCGTTTTATGCAAGTTCAAGATCTATTAATTAAAATGTATTAAGCAAATATACCGTTAGGCTTTTATAACAATGCTTTAAAATTTTTTGGTGTTAGCATTGCAAATGCCCCACCACTTCATAGCGTCTCAAACGGGCAAGTAGAGCGCTTTCACAGTACCCTCTTGGAGCTTGCTCGTTGCCTAAAAATCGACAAGGGGATAACCGATACTGTGGAAATTATTTTATTGGCAACCGCCAAATAAAATAAATCAATTCACTCTGTCGTTGACAAACGGCCAGTCGACATCGTGCAAAAGCACCCAGACGACCCACAGACGGACGTCCAGAATAAGATCGTTAGGGCGCAAAACACGCTCAGGGCCAGGGAAAATGCCTCCCGACAATGCAGAACATTCGAAGTCGGCGAGAAAGTCTTGGTTAAGTCAAACCGAAGGCTTGGAAATAAACTCACACCACTGTGTGAGGAAAAAGCTGTTGAAGCGGACCTGGGGACCACGGTCCTCATTAAGGGAGGGTGGTCCACAAGGACAACATTAGATAATAATTCATTTTTTCTAATTTTTACACCTAGCCACTTGGTGTAAGTTTTATTTTCCACATTTGTTCACCCCTAGCCACTTGGCATAAGTTTTTTTCCATATTTCCTCACCCCTATCCACTTGGTATAAGTTTTTGTTATAATTGTGCTTTATTCTTTATGCTTTGGTGGTGGGCTACAATATTTTAAACAAACACTACAATACATCCAATATTACAGGTTCGCATTCGTATCCCTGTTAGTCCTGCTTACCGTAACATCAGGGCACGTCACGGACTACTCGCAGGCCAAATATATTCCATTCATTGATAGTAGGATTTTAGTTTGGAAAGAATTCGCGTTCGTTACACACTCGGCGAATCTCTCAGAATATAGGCGCGTGGTGGAAGAAACGGATGGCATGACCAGCATGTTTCCCCAGTCACACATGCAGAAACTTTTGAGTGTCGATGTCGCTCATCTGCGTGAGCTTCTCGACTCGTTGAGCATCCACCACAGAGTAGCTAGGAGTTTGGATTTCCTGGGAGCGGCGTTAAAGGTAGTGGCGGGAACGCCAGATGCAGAGGATTTCGAAAAAATTAAACATTAATGAATTTTAGTTAATAAATGCAAACAATAGGCAGATATACATCAATAGTAAAGTACAAGACCAAATTAATAATATTACTACCACCGTCAACCAACTTCTGAGGTCGGCCAAGGGAACCCAAGTTGACACGGGGCATTTTTATGAGATGTTATTATCCCGAAATAGAATGATTAGTATGGAGCTGCAAAACTTATTACTAGCGATAGCTCTAGCTAAGGCCAACATTGTGAGCCCTAGTATACTAGATCATGCAGACCTAGAAGATATATTGATACCCCCATCAAAGACTTATGGTCCGCTGCTTCCGTTAAAATATAACAGTCCGCTAACCTTTTTTATTTTGTCATCAAATTTCCAATAATCAAATCGTCGTGTATTAAAATCACTGTTTTTCCCGTGTCCCATCATGACACGATTCTCAGGCTGGAGGACAAAATAATAGCTGATTGCAATGGAGCAATTCACACGGTCAACAATTGCTCTACAACATCTGGAGCCACATTTTGCCAGCTGGCGTTAAGAAGGTCGTGATCGCCCAAATAGGATCGGCCGAGGGTGGCCTTAATCCTGAGGGGGGGTAGTTAACTAAGTTAACCGGGCGACGGCAATGACCGATCGTCCGAAAGCTCGCTCCGGCCAAATTGCTGACACAGCGTCTGGCCGGAAGCCCGTGCATAGCCGGCAAGCACTACCCATTGGAGTGGCCACTATGAGTCCCATTTTATGTTAGCTTTAAGTTTAGTTAAATTTTGATATTCATCGAATAAAGAGCACAAGCTCATTCAATATAACTCCGGCAACCGCCGTCAACCATTTTATTATTTCTTCACTGACTGAGTCTCTAGGCCAGCAGGTAAAGAAGGGCAGTCACCCTTCCATCCTAATCTTCGTAATTCACCATTGGAGAGAAATTACTAACTGGACTTCTGTACCGAGACAGCGGCGAGGGAACCTCCACTGTGAATTTAAATACTTAGAGGGAAATAACTAACCGGACTTCTGCACAGAGACAGCAGCGAGGGAACCTCTACAGTAAAATTAACTAATTTATATATTCTTGATATACGATCTGGGTCGAACTATACTTATATGTATGTCGTCTGCCCGTCTGTATGTTTCTATCTGAACTAGAAATGTATCAATAGTTGTGCAAGCAATCAGTATCGGGCCGGATCGGGAGACTATAGTCTATTGCTCCCATAGGAGAGATAATATAAATGGTGTGAAAATTTAGAATAGTTTTTCTAAATATTTAATACCGAAACTTGGGTGATTAATTAATAATTTTATTGGCAAAACGACGAAAACGAAAAGATGCGTGCGCTCGACTCAAATCAAATTTTACGAATAATCTATTTCTCCGCAATCATACTTAAGCCTAGCTTACCGAAGGTTGGCGAAGACGGAGCGAACTCGCAGAGTGCGAACGAAAGCTTTATTGCGCTCCCGCCTTCGCCCTAAACTAACTTATACTAGACTTCAAACTTTAAATTTCAAAAATCAAAAAAACTGGCTTCAGCCAACACCGGCCCCGTTGAAGGCCCATCCGGCTTCAACCGATTGGAAGCGGCGCCAATTTGTGGATGGCCCGCTTATAAATTCCTCCTTCACTGGTCCTCAATTCGACGATCCTGACAATACCGTCCTCTCCTGCGTGGGTTGCCACGATCCTCCCGATCAACCATTGCTGAGGCGGCAGGTTGTCTTCGGCGACGACGACGAGCTGTCCTTCCTGGATGTTGGCCTTCTCCTGGTGCCACTTGCCCCGAACTTGAAGGCCCAGTACATAGTCCTGGGACCATCGCCACCAAAACATTCGCCTGGCTGACGAGACAAGTTGCCATCGCCGCAAGCAACTGAGACCAGCCTGGTCCGGGGTCCGGAGTGCTGGGATGGGGAACAATGGCCCGCCTGTCAGCAGGTGCCCGGGCGTTAGCGCTTCTCCGTCGCTGGGGTCGTTGGTTAACGCGCCTAGCGGTCGGGAGTTCAGCACTGCCTCGAGTAGGAGTAGGTTCTTGGCAGACGTCACACCTGCCTCCCAAAGACCGCCCATGTGCGAAGCCCGAGGCGGTGTGAACGCAAACTCGCATCCGCTTTTTGATGCGAATTCGCGTATGGCGTCTGCCTCCTTTTCGATCCGCTCCCGAAGGCCTTGGAAGTGGCGACTAGCTCCTACGAAGTTCGTCGCGTTGTCGCAATGGACTGTGCGAGGGCATCCTCGGCGCCCAAAGAACCTTTGGAAAGCCAATAAAAAGGAGTTAGTGGTTAAATCTGAAACAATTTCTAGATGAACCGCTTTGGACGCAAAACAAACAAACAGCGCTATGTAGGACTTATAAGGAGGCCTTCCACAAATTTTCAAGGTCGTATAGACGGGGCCACAAAAATCAACGCCACATATAGTAAATGGGCGGATCTGCGGGTAAATTTCCCATAATTTGTGTCATTAGTCGAGGCTTGCATTTGAAGCAGCGAATTCATGATCGAACTATTTGACTGCAGACCTCCTGAGCGTTTACGATCCAAATACGCTGTCGAAGGAGACTCACAAGTGCTCGTGGCCCGACATGAAAATTGGTTAGATGAAGATGCCGGACATAGCTCTGCACAAATTGGGAGAATTTTGTCAACAGCAGTGGAAACTTGGCATCGTACGATATAGGAGCATTTGCTAATCGCCCCCCAACTCGCAACAACGAAAAATTACACCAAGTACCCGAGTCTTCATGAATGAATGGGTTCAATCGTTGAAGACTTCGGCCAACTCTGGAGTTCTTCCGAACTTTTTCTAGTACTTCGTGATACTCGTGTTTCTGAATGGTCTCGACAATCTTTAAAAAGGCTTTGTTGTACTCAGTCGGTGCCAGAGTTTTTTCAAAAACTATACTCTTGTCTCTGCATTTCCTTATAAAGCGAAACATGTAAACGAACACTCTAAGCAGCTTGAGTTCCGACTTCCGTACCGTTGCGGCCATCGTTACCACAGTCCTCCTTGATTCCTAAATTAGGACCCTTTCATCAAGAACGAAGTGTGCATTTTTGGGCCAGGTCTCTTCTTCATTCTTCAAAAAGGCTGGTCCAGTAAACCAGATTGAATTACTAATTTCCTCTATGTCACAAACTCTTGATACAATATCTGCTGGGTCCTGTTTAGTTGGAAAATGCCGCCACGTAGCTTCTCCTGACCACTCCGGAATCTCCGCTACC